GCGGGTGGGACACGCTGCAGCCTGGGGGAAGGAATCAGGCAAGTTTCCAGGCATCTGGGTGGCCAGAATCAATCCATTGAATGCCTGTACTGTAGAGTGAGAGTCTAGCAAGTCTAGGTAGGGCAGTAGCAGGTTTTTTGGCATGTTCTGAGGGCCCCACAAATGCCTTTTGTTGGCGACTGCTCCGATTCGCGGACTGGGCACGTGCCAACTTGTGGGGGCCAGGGTCCGGACCTTTTTGATGTCATCGTTGAACCTCTCAGGATTGATTGATTGGTTACCCTAGAAGGAAGTGCGATTTTCAATGGCATGTCATTGAAAGAGACGTCATCAATAAGACTTGAATGTATCGACCGATTCCGCACGAATATAGTGACTATATGTATTTTGAAATATATATATAAGATGTGTAGAAATGGATGCTTCTTCATCGAAGACCATTGGCGAACATCAACCTAGATATGTATTCATCTAACTTAAATTGTAAGTAGATAAGAGGACTGCTCAACCTGTCTTGCCTGTGTACGGAGAATATTTTAACAAAAAGAATGAGTAAAGTATATAGGCATGCTCTACTCCGCCTCGTCATTTCCCTGCTTTGGCTCAGATTCAACAGATGCTGATGGCCTTGTCATGATACTCTTATCCACCAAGTCGACCTTGGCCAGCTTGTTGGATAGCAGATCAACAACCTCTTCATGCCCTTGCTTTTGTGCCGTCGATAGCGGCGTTGAGCCATACTTATCCCCACGATCCGGATCTGCACCAGCTGCGAGTAATTGTTTCACAACCTCTTTATACCGATTCCATGCGGCTATAGATAGTGGTGTTATACCGTATTTACCCTTGAGATCTTGGTTTACTCCAGTTGCGAGTAATGGTGCCATAACCACGCCAAGCCCTTTGTGTGCCGCTATATGTAGCGGTGTTTGACCACGATAATCCCTGGCATCTGGGCGTGCACCAGCTTTGAGCAATAATTCCACAATCACCTCATGCCCTTTAGATGCTGCGATATGTAATGATGTTTCGCTGTTTTTATTGCTGAGATCTGGGTCCGCTCCAGCTGCGAGCAATAGTTTCGCAACCATCACATGTTTTCTCTCTACGGCATGCAATAATGGTGTTTGGCCAGTATTATCCCTGGTATCTAGGTCTGCACCAGCTGCGAGCAATAATTCCACAATCGCCTCATGCCCCTTAATTGCTGCTAAATGCAGTGCTGACGTCGTAAATGTATCGTCAGGGCTAGGATTCACGTCTGCTCCAGCGGCGAGCGATAGCTTTACAACAGCGTCATGTCCTCGGTCTACCGCACTCAATAGCGGTACTGCGCCGGATTGACTCCTGAGATTCGGGTCTGCTCCAGCTGCAAGCAGCCTTTTGGTAATAGATAAATCCCCGTTACTTGCTGCATACCTCAGTGGTATCGTATACTTTGACTTCCCGAGATCTGGATTTGCTCCGGCTACGAGTAATAGATGAACAACAGCGGCTTGTCGTTGAACTACTGCTTCGTATAAGGGCTTGCTCGAGTGAATGTCAATGTTAGGCATTGCAAGCAGTAGCTTAACAACGGCTTCGTGCGCTGCTTCTGCCACCTTAGACAGCGGCGTCTGGTTCCCATTGTCGAGATTTGGATCCACCCCGGCAGAGGGTAATAATTTAACCATAGCGTCATGCCCGTCAGATGCCGCCCATAATAATGGTGTACCATCCTGGCCATCCCTCGAGTTAATGTCAATGCTAGGCATTGCAAGCAGTAGCCTGACGACGGCTTCGTGCCCATTTCGTGCTGCCAATGATAGCGGCGTATATCCATACTCATTTCTAGAGTTAACTTCGATACTAGGTATCGCTAGGAGTAACCTGACAACATTTTCATGCCCGTTACATGCCGACCATGATAATGGCGTTGATCCGTTTTCGTCTTTCTTATTGACATCAATTGGTTTCTTGAGAAGGGTTTTAACTGTTTCCTCAATACCAAAGTAGGCGCCCAAGTGAAGACTTGTCATTCCAAATGCAGGCTTTTGTTTCCCCGAATACCAATTTTCTAAGCGGGAAGCATCAGCCCTGAGCGCCTGGATTGAAGCATTCATTTTCGTCTCGCATTCCAAAAACTCCATGACCCTGTGACTTAGCTTGGAGGCCTTCCGCGCATGATGCCCCCAATTTTGAGCGGCATATCTATAAAGCGGATATAGTTCTAACCGCTCCCAAAAGTCCTGAGGTAGGCAAACCCCCTTTTCGAAAACTTTAAATAGGAGGTATGAGGCACAGATATCTGTCATAATAATATCTGAATCAGGAAACCAGCGTTTGCGTGTTTGGCTAAAGTATTCCTGTGTAGTGTAATGAACCAATCTGATGATGCTGCTTTCGTAGTCAACAGTGACTAATCCAGCACACACAGAGACCATGTCGTGAATCGATGGGAGATTCTCCTTGTCAATCTCCGACTCATCGATTTCGACAGCAAGCGCGTGCTGAAGCTCGGTTGTGGTGAGTTGCCGTTCTGCACAAACAATCCATAACAAAACGTTATGAGCAAGTTCTTTGAACCCTGATTGTTGCCCGTTAATTCGCAACATCGCTTGCTCGTATGCATGGGCTAGGACACCAATCTTTTCAGCTTCGCCCAATCCTGAAATTGGCTTGTGGAAGCTGCTTAATGCATTCTTCATAGCTTTTGGTGTCATCTTGTCGTTGAGTGAGTTCAGATAGATCTGCGCTAAAAGAAACCTATAATCCGTCAATACACAAATTACATAGTCATCGCATTGGTAAGAAACATACATTCCATCAACAGCTTTCGAAATCTCCGTTGCAATCATCTGCTGTAGCTCTTGGCTCTGTTGCACAAATGCTGGTAGTTGGCCGGTATTGCCTTTCAAGTATCTCTCTATATCGTCGGTGCTTGCACGAATCTCTAGCGACATGCTGGTTTCATTGAAACGGTCAACGATCTCTGGAATGTCCCTCGATGTCATAAAGAGATTGCATCTGGACTTCTCCTGGAGGCTGAAGAGCTCTGTTAAAAACTTTTGCCGACTGCCATCTAAATTCTGGCATTCGTCAAGTGCGTCAATAACGATGAAGACAGTCGAATAATTTTCCGCCGCTGACCGAAGAGCCGTCTGAATCTCAAGAAGCGATAATTGCGTTCGTTTGTCCATATGCTTTTCATAAAAGCCCCTAAGGCAGTTTGGGATACAATTCTCTCCTTGGCTCAATTGTTTCAGTAGGCTTGCGAGTAATTTCTCGATACTTTGTTCTTCCTGGCGTCGGTAGTTGCAGTAAATGTAGGCAATACGAATTGTTGGATCGGCTCCATATGTCCTTTCAAGATGGTCGACCACGATTGAAGTGAGAATAGTCTTTCCAGCTCCTGGAATTCCAGGACAGAAAAGTGTCTGCTTCCTAGCCCCTAGCCAAGTTTGATACTCTCTTGAGTCTATGAGCCATTGACCAGTTCCTGGTTCCCGCCTCCTGAGGAAATCGCTCTGTTGAGGGCCATAGTTAATTGGAGTGACCCATTCCAAGATTCGAAGGTCCATGTCATTATCCAAATTGGACTTGAGGTTTGAAACAACAACTCTTGTCGAGGATACTTCGGTAAGAACTGTTTTTTCCATTAGTAACGAATTTGATATAAGTATAGGCAATACATGTTAGCTAACCATCGCTCAGCATGTCTTTTACAGTGCGCTCTCCATCAACGTCGCTGGGGCTCACGTAGGCCAGAAGCTCTTTTGCGAATGCAGCCGCTACGACTGCTGCGTATTCCTGCCAATCCTTATTCTTATGCGAATCTGCATAATCACATATTCCTCGGATGACAATGCAAGGAAAGTTGTTCATCAGCCCTGCTGCCTCCATTTCCACACAGAGAATATTTCCATCAAGGTCTTTGTTAAGTTGATCTCTGTGGGTGGCGCTCTTAATGACTTGATTGCCTGAAGCGATGAGGCCATAGTGAACACGCATATCCCTGGGCTTTCTTGTTATAACCCTGGTCTTATCGCAATGCTGGCAGCTCTCTTCTTCTTCGCTTTCATAACTACTGCCAGAAGAGACGTGATCCTCTGTGGTGCTCTGACAAACATGGCTGTAGTCTGCCTTGAATAAAATATCCTCCAACGAGTCGGATCTGAGATATTTTGCTGCCAATCTCGGCCACTTCTGTTTCATCTGATCCAGATACTCTGGGATCTGAGATCCAACCAATTCATGCTCTGTTTCCAATTTCGCCAGGGCAGTGAGAAGGGAGACCGGAGGATTGTTCAGCGACCCCGTCCGTTCAAAGCCACCATCCTTTGCCTTGCCAAGATCCCACTGGACTACTCCGGGAAAACTGCCGACCGGAGTACTGACGACAACATCGCCAAGTCTGACTTTGGGCGGCATACCGCCCCCGATGCCAACCATCAAACCAAACCTGACAGACGGAAACGTGGTGACCATTTGAGCGGCAACTGTTGCCGCTGGACTGTTGCCTATATGGCCTTTCGGCAGACACGCAATAACAACATTATGCTTGCCGATTGACCCAAGAGTATACGTATTGGAGTCATTTGCTGGCTTCGGTAGGTTGTCGTGTCTCTGATCTAGCATGGCCGTGGCCGTGGTTTGTTCTTTTGGCAGGGCGCAGACCCATCCAACCGTGTATTCATTGTGAGTTTTGGTCTCGATGGCTGATTGTGTGCCCATCTTGGTAGTTGTTTGGTGTAGATGTTAGAGATGATCAAACAGGGCCATGAAGAGGGGTAACCAGGGTTTGTTTCTCTTATTTAGCTGCTGGAACTGTTGCTCTTCATTCGTTATAACCTCCTGTGGATTCAACCAATGATTGCCATTGTTGCCTGACAGGGTGCCCAGCTTCAGCCTCGCGGGCTGGTACTCTGAGCATCGGGCATCAGTCGTATTCATGCCTAACTTGTAATGACACGTTATGCAAAGAGCGATGAAATTATCTAATTTTAAAGCTTTTGTACAAATTATGGCCTAGGATTTATATGAAGGTTGCCTATACTTCTGTCAGTAAATAACTCGGTTTTGCTATATACATGTACTTATTACAGCACCTGGTCTTCTCTCTGAAGATATAAGATATAATTCACCTGAGGTAGATACTGTTGAAGAGGAGACTCAATATACCACGATTGAACCCTATTCCGTGTTTCAAGTCTACATAGCCTAATCATCATCCACGCTCCATACCCGCCATATTATCGCTCCTTCGACATATTTGTACATGCACAATTCTCCTTACCCAAACTACATCCATCCAACTCAAATACCCCAGCCCGATCATAGAAATACTTATTAGCCATCCCATTCTCCCAATTCTGCCGCCCCTCGACAAATGCCGCTTGCGTGCTCCTACATCAACAGCAAAACACCAAACGGTCAGCTCAACAACATCATCAAAAAAAACCGACTCTCCAACAAAACAAGTAAAACAAACACCATATACTCACTGGAATCGAATCATCGTCTCCCCATTACACACATCCACAATGAAATGTAACTCCCCCACGCTCACATACTCAGGCTGTACATCAGCCCTCTCACCCTCCTCTTCCATCTCCCTCCTCTTATACTCCTCAAACGCAGTGAAATCTTCTTCCCGCCATTCCCCGTGCACATCTCTTGCTCTCGCTTCTCTCACCAACTCATACAAATCACCCCCATAATCCTTCCTCGCAAGACAATACCCACAACTCAACTTACCGCAACTCTCCAAACTACATCTCGGACGCTTCCCCGTCCTAACAATAGCTGTGCGACGCCGCCGAAGAAGTTCAATTTCAGCATAACGCAACCCGATTCTCAAATCGTCCATAAAATCATCAGGTCGCATCTGTCGCCACTTCTCATCCCATATGACCTGCTTCAAAATATCCCGATCACGCATATAATCGAAGAACTTTTCCACTCCACCATACGGAAACTTCTCTTTAATGTTATGAAACGTCTGCTCTGTTTGTCCCTGGCGACGCTGAAACCACCGTTCGGCAAGCTGCAAGAAATGCTGCTTACACAGCGTAGCCGCAGGATCGTGAGGGAACGTCTGGTAGAACTCGAGCTGTAAAAGTTCTCTGTAGGAAGGCGGTCCTAACTCGTGTTGCTCTTCAAAGAAGGTTGGCTGATTAGACGGCCGGTATGGCGGTGTGATGGCTCCGTGAATTGCTCTTGTATGGGCGTCGTCCGGCTGCTCGACTGATTGGTCCGAAAGAGAAGAAGGGGTGAAAAGAGAGGGAGAAGGAGAGGAAGAGGAAGAAAGAAAGTCGCGAGTGTCAATAGATAACCATGGGTTTGGTAAAGTAGCATTCTGACCAGAGACTTCTGCCAAATCTGGCATTTGGACAAGCATCATCTCATCTTCATCAGCATCGTCGCCATCTTCTTCCTCTGCCTCGAACCCAGCGTCCTCCTCACTCTCATAATACCTGGGCCGTGAATCTGTGTCCGCGTCATTTCCACTTTCAGCTCTGGCCTGAGCACGAGTCGTGACCATGACTGATAATACGGCGATCGCAAACACCGAGAAAAAAAACATGACAGAAAATCGATGCCATCACTAGAGACAAGAGGAGCGACCGGGGAACTTGAGAAATAAAAAGACATCGGAACAAAGGAGACAATGTCCTATGCAATTCGTTTGCATTTGCATTTGACTAACAATACAAAAGGGCAACAAAAGCCAACATGACGAGCCTTTGTCTTCATCCAACATAAACCTGATACAGAACAATGTTACATCTCTTTGACACCCATTAATACCAATGCCAGAAATAGTGATCCAATCCCAATACCCATCCATACCAAACCAACCGATGAACAAACTCCGATGCAACGCTAAAAGCATCTTAAAAATAGCCAAGTCAAAACGCCGATTCATGAAACTTCCTGTGATTTAACACCGTACTTTGGAACATGAAAATGGATGTTGCTTCCGAAATAGGAACTCCTCTGCTCGGGCTTGTTTGCGTCCTCGTCGTTTGCCCAGCTTCTTGTATAATTTCCGCAGATATCGCACGGTCCCTCTGGAGCTATTATGAAGCTTTCTTGAAACACTGATACTTCTACTTTGCGTTCAATGCCCGAGTTTCGACGCCCTTGTACCTCAATTTCGCGGATTGATGGTTCGGCGAATTTCTCGTACAAATTTGTCACCTCGGGTGTGACAACAATGGTTGCGTCCGACTCGGCGAGACTGTGTTGTCTAGCAGAAAACCGTTCCGAATAAATAAAGTTGTTGAAAGCGGCATCATCAAAATCTTTCTCAGGTGGATAAGAGGGAGGTGTTGCTGGCTGGTAAAAGAGCCCTGTTAAATCAACTGCAGCAACAAAGATAAAGATTTGCCAGATCGCCCATGACTCTGCAGTCTGCTCTGCGTTTGCATGTTGACCCTAGAAATCGATATTAGTTTTGGATGGCATCATATTGGAATAACCAGAAGCCAACTCACCGACACCAGAATGATAGCTCGCGCAGCTGCGGCCGCCGTGGCAAGAAGCCCGCAAACAAGCGTTGCGACCCACTGAAGCTTTTCCCATGTGGGTTTGTCTTTTCTAGTAGTGACAGGAGTAGCTGCAGACGCTAGATAGAGGTTCGTAACGATGTCGAGGCTGAAGTATACCCACACCAGCACCGGTGAAGTGGCAGGCTGGCAGCACAGTCCTGGGCTGGGATATACCTGCCACATATGAGGCAACGGTCGACAGCTTTGGAGGAGAGCCATCGTCGTCGCTACCCATGTTACAGACAGGAAGCCAAAGCCGAGATACTGGTAAGTTTGTCGTCTACCGGATTCGGGAATACGACGAAGGACATTTGCGAGAAAGGCTGCCTTAAACGTCCATAACGCAGCGGAATAGGATAACCAGCTGTATAGATATAGTTTCGATCCCAATTCCCTGAAATAAGTTAGATGATAGCTGAGACGATGAGGCGGCGGAAAGCATTACCTCATCTGATCTTGGTCATGGCTCGGCTGTGTTGCAGTATTGTTGCTGACAGAGTGATTGCCTATCCAATGAGTTCGCGTGTTCATGATGTACGCCAAGACCACGTTGGGCACAAAGAGAATCTAAAGCCAGTGTAAGAACAGATGCAGATTATGAATGTAGAGTGCATCACAAAAATACTTACCACTCCTGCAATGGCAAGCCCATCATCAAGACCAAGATTCTTCATTCCAACCTGCCGCCATCGGGCGTATAATCGCCCGCCTATGGAAACCAAGGCAGCGCCAAGGAGAAGAAAGATTTGTATTGTTAGGGCTTCCGCTTTTTCCATGTTGTCTCGGTTCATGAGTATCGTCTCAATGTCCCCATAAGAGATTTGGCCTTTGACTATTATCATCACGGTGAAAGGTTGAGAGACAAAAGACAAAGAGGGAGACTGGGACGCGGCATGAAAGTAATATATAATTTGCCACCGCACGAGGTACAAGGAGGGGCCCTCAGCTGTTGTGATGTCCGGGATCAAACCATCCAAATACAAAAGATAAACTGCCCACCTCTCCCCCAGCTTTATCCAGCTTGTCTTGACCCACCCAAGGGGAGAGCAACTGCTCTTTGACCCCAGACCCCAGCTCAAAATGTCTCTCATCTGCATTCCCGGCAAACGAACGAGCACGTTGGCATCAGCAAAGCTGGCAACCTTCCCAAAGCGCTGGGCCCGGCACCTTGACGCCCCCGCGCCAACGGACCGAAAGTCGAGACGCAGCAGATCGCATGACTCGTCCATTTGCTTTGGGCCACGACGCCCTCCGTATCATAGCTCTTCCAAGCTCCTGTCACAGCACAGCATGACGGATTGAGTTGAGCTGTGCACTGAGCTGAGGTGGCGCGCGAGAGGGGCGAAAGCAAGGAGCTGTCAGTGCACAGCAGCTAGTAGTTTGTCTCACGCCACTAATGCGCCCAAGCAAAGCGGTTGGTCCAGGCTTGGTCTTGTCCAGGGCTGAAGAGTGGGTAGAAGCTAGTAGCGCTCCGTTTTCCGTTGCTGTCGCTCCATTCGGAAGACTTGCTGAGGCCCTGCTCGGACCCAGCTTTGAGGCCCAGCCTTGGCCCTGCTCTCTTGTGTGATATGCGGGGAAATTTCGCTGCCGCTCACGATGATAGCGCTGTGTCTACTCCGTAGCGCTGAGTCTGACGGCCTGGATGAGACCGATTTCGCCTGGATATCGATGTCCCAACAGACGATGCCATAATTGGTCCGCGATATGCGACCGTTGACTCGCGCGTTTTGTCATTTACGAGTAACTCGTATCAACCAACCGCCGATGCATGTGATGAAACGAAACGCAAGGGAGAAGAGAGAGAGAAGTGTAAAAAAAGAAAAGAGAGTCAAAAGGAAATTGGCGATTGATAAGAGTGGCTGGACTAGGACCACGGGCCGCTCTTGCCGCAGTTGACTGTTCGGGGGCGGTTGCCTGTTATGTCTCACTGTAATTCTGTTTCCGCAGGCAGGAGCAGAGACAGATTTGCGCTTTCCTTTCCAGTCACCTCAATCACTTTGGGATTATTCAATTATTCACATGCAACCCTCTCTTACTGCAATCATAGGTGCCTATTATCGGTAGGGTTTAGTCTCACCACATGCACATGCACGCCCATCATCCGATTAATCAACCGGCCTCCACATGCATTTCGACTATCTATTTCTGGGACATGCATGAGAAATGTCAGGCCCCAACTCGGGTCCTGATTCAGAGCATCCAGTTGCGAAAGACCTGATTCGAGGCTCCAACCAACGCCCAAATTGGGCGGAGACGCTACAACCCGCCTGCCTCGGCGAATTACCTCGACCCCAGAGCGATACGATGCCAATGCGAGTAGAAAATACGGGACTTGGGAATCGAAAGAGCAAACGGGTATTGGTCCAGAGCTCGCACCAGGGCCAGGTTTTGGGAGGCAAAACCCACCGCAGTCAAGGACACCCCGGCTCTCTCAACGATAGCCGGCACCGAGACCTACGAATATCTTTCCCGTTCACAGAGCCACAAACTCCTCCTCACGATGGTCAAAACCTCGTGTGATCAGACCTAAAGCGTGGCAAACTATTTACTGCGAGCAAAAAGGACTGCTCTAGACCCGGAGCGAACTGGTTTGGTGTTCGCAGATCCGCCGCGACTTTCTGGCGAGATCCGCTGGCTGGTGGAGTCGGCTACTAAGGCCTGGGATGCTAGATCGCCTTGTGCATCCAATGACTTTTGCTCCGACACAGGCTCTCGGCACTCGTCCTGCCTCCCCGTTTTAGCGGCGGTGGAGCTTTGGAGTAGTGCTGAACTAACCCCAGGATGAGAGAGGGCTAGATCTCCAAGGCCAATGCAAGGCAAACTTGAGGGGAGAGCAAGAGGGGGAATGGGAAAGCCATGTCCATGTTTGTTTTTACGCTTGTTGACCGCTGACTCTATCAGGTGCTATCCTATCTGTTCTGTCTGTTTGTCTGTTCTATCCACTGGCCTATCCACTCTGACTCCTCTGCTTTACCTCTTGAGAGTCTTTTGCTTCTCCGCATCTCGGGCGACAGTCCTACCCTCCACCAACAGGCCCTTCTTTCTTCGCACGCCATCCATGTACCTCTTCGCTACATTTTCCTTATCGGCCAATTCTCCGAGGTCCTCCAAGTCGTCCTCGGTAAACGGCACCCAGAACGGATCTTCATCCAGGATCTCAAATCCGGCAAAAATCAGCTGTGGCTGCGCCGCCCCGCTAGTCCTCTTGCGCATCTCGTCTGCGAACCCAAAGCTCTCAGCTACCGGTAGCATAGCCTGAATCGTGAAGAAAGGCGTGCCCTCTTTCATTTCTTCGGCCACCACGCGGCCCCTGCGACGGGTAAGTACATCGTATACTCGGCCTAGTACCTCGGTAGATGTCTGGATTTCGAGCGTGTACATGGCGAGCATGAGTCTGGGGGACCAGTCGAGGAAGCCTGCGCGCAGTGATGATTGGAACGCCTTGATGACTTCTCCTGTAAGTCTGCTCAGCTTATCGCGGGCGGATGTGTCATCCTCTGAGAGGTTGAGAGATACGTCCTCCACGAAGACGGCAACTCCCTGCATGGGTTCATTGCACAATGGTCCCTGTGCCGTTGCCAGCTGGAAAGCATATGCGATTTTGTCGGAGAGATGGCTGGGATGAAGTTTTTCGAGAGACTCAGACGCCGCATCAGATGCCTTGGCTGAGGCAAAGATTTTGGGAAGAATGCCATCCTTGGTGGCATCGATGAGGAGATTGGGGCCTGTTCGTCTAGGTCCAAATCCTGCGATCCGATCAATCAATCCCTTCCACCCTTCGCGGCCTTTTCCGGTTTCCAACTCTTTCTGCAATTGCGTCTTGAGTTCTTCTGCGGATATGGCTGCGCCAGCAATAAGCTTTGTATCAATCTCGATGGCTTCTTCGCTCTCTTCTCCGCTTTCCTCTTCCGCCAGCTTGCGGACATTGTGTAATCGCTTGATGGCATCGCCATTCTTGAGCAAAAATTCGGTAACGTTTGTAGGCAAAGGTTGCACACGAATGGTCAGATTGACCTGCTTTGAGCTTGTAGAAGAAACAACAGTTCCGCGACCCAAGTCCTTATTAGCGGGAGGGCGCATTTCCTCTGCCTTGACAATCGTCTCTCTGTATGGCACGATGGGTGCACCGGCTTGGATGTCACATCGCGCAAATCTCTCTTTCAAATCTAGTAGACATCTCTCGAGATGAAGCTCACCAGCTGTCAGTAGGACGTGCTCTCCACTTGCAAATTGCTCGTACTCTGCACACGGGTCACTCTGAACAAGCAGATGCAATCCCTGGATCATCTTATCCAGATCTGCAGGGTTTACTGGCTCAAGTGCAACACGAACGATGGGCTTTCCGGCCAAGCTGATACCAGCCAGGTTCACGGCACCTTCGAGCTTGCTGCAGAGAGTTCCCGATTTGAGAATTTTGCCATCTAAGCCTCCAATGCCGAAGACAACGCCAGCTGGTACGGTATCTAGCGCCTCAAGACTCCTTCCCATGAACATGTATAGTGATTTGACGGTGATTTGTTGAGGATCGGCTGCGTGAGGGTTGGCTGGTGTCCACTTGGGCGGAATGACGTATAATGTGTCTCCCACGGAGAGAGTTCCCGAGAAGATTCTGGCAAAGCCAATCAAATGCTCTGGATCAACCTTTTCCTCCTCGGCGGCTGGTGTCACATCATCAATATTAACAGACCCCAATGCATCGGTCAAACCAGCCACATCATCTTGGCTGTTGGCAGCAGCCAAGGCGGCGGCGGCAGCTCGCTTCTGCCGAGCCAATTCCCTCGCTTCCTCTCCTGTCATTTGACCAGTTCGGCGCTTGTTTTCGGGAAGCTCGCTTTGAGGAACAGATACCATCTTGCTGACATATGCGACAACAGGGTCTGACTTGTCCGTCTTAAATGAGACCATGGCCTCTCTGATTGACTTGTCTACGAATTCTGAATCTGGAGAGTCGTCGATGACGCTAGGGATACGCTCAGCTTGTGCCACCGGGGGTGAGGGGAGTGATTCGATGACAGAGACTAGCAAAGCAGTTGAAAGCGGTAGCCATGAAGCGAATACCGTGGTCAAGAGCAGTCTGGGATCTCTTGCTCGAAGGATATGAGGAGCAATGCTGATGTTGAGTGATTTTGTGACTTTCTCAAGGAGTGCCGGATCTCCCTTGCCTCCATCGACGCCCATAGTAGCCTGATAGACGGTCCAAACGGGCTCGAGAACCAGCTGGACAAACATGGGCTTGAGATTACGGCCCTTCAGATGCTTCTGCCCGAGGACCTTTTTGGTCTTTGGGTCCAAGTAAAAGTTGCCCCAAAGGCATCTCTCCATGATGCCTCGCTTGATTCCAAGCTTCTTTTCGTAAATGCTGGCGAATTGTCTGCAGGTAAATGCCCAGCCGTCAATGGCACTGCTGAAAATGACATTGTTCTTTTCGGGTGCAAAGTATAAATCCTCATCATCCAGTTCTTCGAATTGAAGGTCTCCTACTTCTGAAGCAGTGTCACTCGCGGAGGCTTTTGTTGCGGCTGCAGCATTGACACGCTCTTCCATCTTCTCTCGCCAGTTGAGATCCTCCTCCATTCGCTCTCCCTGGAAGAAACTTCCAAGAACCGCATTGACCTGCTCTAGAAGTTTGCTAAGGTGGACATACGCCTCTTGGGGCGTCATCTTGAGCTCAGTAACGAGTCTGTCGATTTTGTTGATGACCAGGAGGGGCTTGAGTTTTTCGATCCAGCTTTGTCGGAGGACGGTCACTGTCTGACTGCAAACTCCTTCGACTGCGTCTACAAGGACGACAGCTCCGTCACATAGTCGAGAAGCGGTAGATACCTCGCTGCTAAAGTCAATGTGTCCTGGCGAATCGATCAAGTTGATCAAGTACTCCTTCGGCTCAGGGGTGGCCTCTGGAGCTGATCGTCTCAACATGGAAAAGTAAAGTGAGATGGCGGACGACTCCATCGTGATTCCTCGAGTCTGCTCATCCGGTCTAGAGTCCAGATACCGAATCTTTCCGGCCAATTTGGGCGAGATGATGCCGTTAGTGGCCAGCAAGGCATCTGTTAATGAGGTTTTGCCATGGTCGACGTGAGCCAGGATGCAGATCTATTTGTCATCAGTAAGAGTTTATATCTGGATTCACACACGTGAGGCCTTCCGTACATTTCGGACATCTTGCGATTGCTTTTGCAAGCTGGCTAGCTTTTCTGGTGTCACAACCGGCATCTTGGGCAAGTGGTGACGTGGGATGGATGGGAGAAAGGAGAGTGGCTATGACGAGATATGAAGAGACTGTCGGTTGGTTGGTGATGCTCGCTGTCGCCTGTCGCTTTATATGAGGAAACAAGCTAAATCCAAGACAAAAACGCCTCTTTAGACACCCCCTGGTACAATAGAGTCGAAGAAAACTAAGGTATGACGCAGAAAATATCAGGGGCGATAATTTAGCAAGGATTGCTCATCACCTATGACTCTTCTCAGGCTGACAGGAATAGGCAAATTTGGTGGTCGAGCCTCTCAGTCGCAAACTTCTGCAGCTGCTTATTAATGCGGTAGCTACAAAATGCGACGAATCAGGTGCTAAGGCACAAGCTCGAATCCGATTTCAACTTTGTCGATGTGGATGAAAGAAGTTTGTGAGTATTGCAGATGATGAATTCTGTCTCCAACACTTGGCAGTGAATCTTTTCTTGTATTAATCAAGTTTCCCATACAAATGTTTCCCATGTAAATTCTTGCTGCCCCTCGTCTTTTCGACCCCTCCGTGTCATCGTCCTTGCCAGGGTACTCTGTACTCGGTACCTCGCCTGTGCCCCGCCTCGAAATTTCTTACGCTTCCATCAGAGCATCGCTCGGTTAGCTGCATATCCCATGCAACAAACCGTCGCCTCAACATCGCTTAAGCCCCCCATGCACGTAGCGATGCACCAAGCCCTAACAAGTCACGAAGGGGAAAATTCGTGAGAGCGTCAAGCCCCTCCCGCGCAAGGCGTAGAAAAATTTCGCTGCCCCTCTCCCCCAGCCTCGACAAGATCACGACGGGCGGTCAGACACAACCATGGCGACGTACACAAACGGAGGGGCTCCGGCCCGCGCGATTGCTGATGACAGCGATGTTGAGGAGGAAGCCTTGGTGGCCGAGTACAAGGAGCATGTGCAATACGAAGATGGCGACGAGCTCAGCCAGACGACGTCGCTCAACATGGCCCAGTCCACCGACGACATCCAGTCCCGCCTCCTGTCCGCTGCCCAGCCGTTGGACTTTTCCGCGCCTCTCGAAGTCAAGTTCCAGAGCTACGACTCTTACTGCAGCTTGTTCCACTACATTTTGAACTCGGACGGCCCCGTCGACCTCGAGCCCCCTTCTGTGCGTTTGACCTTTTTGGGGAACCCTGCTTGAGCTGCTCGCTTGCTCAATCGTCAATTGTGCCATGGCTAATTTTTTTTCTTTAAATCAAACAGTACTACTGGGCTTGGGACGTCATCGATGAGTTCATCTACCAGTTCAACTCCTTCAGCTCATACCGAAGCCGAATCGCGAGACAGGCCAACAACGAGGAGGAGATTCAGATCCTCCGCGAGAACCCCAACACGTGGGGCTGCTACAGCGTCCTCAACGTGCTCTACTCGCTGATCCAGCGATCCCAGATCACCGAGCAGCTGGGCGCCATGAAGCGTAACGAGGACCCCATGGCCGTTGCCGGCGAGTACGGCTCTAAGAACCTGTACCGCATGCTGGGATACTTCTCCATCATCGGTCTCCTGCGAGTGCACTGCTTGCTGGGTGACTTTGGCCTGGCGCTCAAGACTCTGGATGACATTGAGCTCAACAAGAAGGCCATGTTTGCCCGCGTCATGGCGGCTCACTTTACGACATACTACTATGTCGGCTTCTCCTACATGATGATGCACCGATATGCCGACGCCATCCGCATGTTCAGCCACATCTTGATCTACGTTTCGCGGACCAAGAACTTCCAGAAGAACGCCCAGTTCGACTCCATCACCAAGAAGAACGAGCAGATGTATGCTCTGATTGCCATCTGCGTGGCCTTCCACCCCACCAGACTGGACGACACCATCCACAGCGCCCTGCGGGAGAAGTACGGCGACCAGCTTCTCAAGATGCAGCGCGGCGGCCCCGAGTCGCTGCCCATCTTTGAGGAGCTGTTCCGCAGCGCCTGCCCCAAGTTCATCTCCCCCATTCCTCCGGACTTTGACAACCCCGAGTCCAACATTGACCCCGTGGAGCACCACCTGTCCATCTTCATGGACGAGGTCAAGACCAACATGTACAGCCCCACTATCAAGTCCTACCTCCGCCTCTACACCACCATGGACCTCACCAAGCTGGCTGGCTTCCTCGAGGTGAAGCCTGACGAGCTGCGATCTTGGCTCCTGGTGACCAAGCAGCGCACCAAACAGCTGCGATGGCAGGACCAGGGTCTCCTAGACGGCGAGCTGGTCAATGTCAGCGACCTTGACTATGCTCTGCAAGGAGTACGTTTCCCCCTTCTTTTACCCTCTATATCTTGCAACATTTTTCGCTAACGTATATCTCTTCTATAGGACCTGATTCACATCTCAGAGGCCAAGGTCGGCCGAAAGCTCGTAGACTGGTATCTCCGCAACCTGTCTCGCACCTACAACTAGGAGTAGAAGTAGACGGACAAAAACTATCCAGGTATAGGCGCTGGTACAAAAGTTTCGAGGCCATGCGCGCAGCAAACGGGAATAGTCGGAGGAAAGCTGGGGCGGGTATACTGGATCAACTGGCCGGTTGCATGGCTATGGCGTCACGGAGTTGGTTGGCACTCGTATGAGGGCACGAGGATTGCTCGAAAGTGGCCCTGGGGGGAAACACAAACTTTGAGGAAGTGGATCTTTGTAGAGTGTTCATAATGTTGATGTGAAATTACGATCTGAATAAAAAAGAAAGGGATTTGTTCAAGTTTTGGATTTAGATATGAAGAGTGCTTTTGGGAGACATCTGATCAACAAGTGAGAGCAAGACAATCGAGGAGGGGAAAATGCCATGGCCGAGGCACGAATGCCGATTCACGCCCGAGATGAAGAAGAAGAAAAAAATACAAGGCCGCGGAAAAATACCCATCATGACTGCGACCTTGTGAATGGACGATCGCCTCAATCACATCAGCACAGCCTGCAGGCTATGCCAGGGTACATACATATCCTGAGAACCGACTACTGGAACACGAGCGGAATCCCGACAAAAGCATCAAACAAGGTATCACAAAAAACAGAGAAGCACTAGTGCCCACACACCACAGCCTGGAAGGATGTTGGGTATTATTTCGGCTCTAGCTGGGGTTTTTGTTTTTGAGCTAGGGTACATACATGCTTAATCAAGTTGGTGGCGAAGAGCACTTGAGAGCCTGGGGAGAGCTTTTTGTCCATGCGGATCGGGAAGAATGAGGGGGGGAAATGACGGTTGTAGCACGATTAGGCACCAAAAGCGGCGATAGTAGTAATCAATAATAATAGCTCTTTAGTAGCAGCAGAACTAACATCTATAGCTTGGAGCTGGAATTTATTCTATGTGTATCAAGTTGATGGGGGATACAAACATTAAGGTTTTAGCTAGCCAGGGCTGAAATGTGATCAAAAACCCGTCAAAAGAGCGTGGCAACAAGAAAACCGAAAAAGAAGGCTTGCGAAAAAGGAGACTGGGGTCAGGTGAGCAACTTGCGGCAAGGGGGTAACGAATGTCCGTTGGGAGCTCCCCCTGGTTGACTTGTCGAATGACACGACATGCTGACTTGCCTGCGTGTCTCGGGCTGCCTCTTCATTGTCTGTAGTACGTAAAAGGAATGGAAATTGGGCAAATGAGGATATACGAGTACTACCAGAAATATTGCTGTTCCGGAGGTGCGGTTAGGATCCGAGAGCATGTGATAGATTTTTCTGTGTGTTGTCGGTTCGGAGCCGGAAGACTAAGACAGACGGGAGAGATGAGCAGCGGCTTTGCTTGGCGGGCGGATCTTCTCTTTCGAGTTTGGGAAGATTTTTTTTCCTTTCCTTTTTTTTCTTTGTTGATGATGATAGTGGGTTTTCAGGAGGGGCAATGTGTGACGCTGCAACGCACAGCCTCTTCATTTTTCATGAGAAAGATGCGTCATACAGAGAGTCCGGAAAAAGAGGTACCAACGCCAACAAGAAGCTGAAGGCTACTAGGACGAGTGTAAAGTTTATTCTTCCTTTCTCTGTTATGCTGTCTTTGTAATTTTCTGATACAACTCTGCTATCATCTTGTCTATCATTATTACAGACTCACCTTGCCAATGAAGAGCTTGCCCGATGATACCATGCATCAAGTACATCGTCTCTCCCGTGCCGTGCGATATCATATAGAGCATGCATGGAGGTTTAGCTGCTCTTTTCGACACCACCCCTTGGTAGTGTGGTTACGGTTACGCCACGCAGCCAACCTTGTTGCTATACTGTGGCTTTTTAGCTCTCGGCCAGACGTGATGCCAAGACTGCAAAAAGACAGGGATCCGACCTTGTCTGTATCAATCCTCGTACGTAGTTTATTCGCACGAGTGTGGTTGCAGTGGTGACCTTAGCAAGCGCTTGGAGCCGTGCAAATATGCGGCCAGATTGCCCATTGTACACACCTTCTCTCTCGAATATCTGTAATACATCGTCTTGTCGAGATAGTAGGGGTCCCCTAGCTTCGCCATGGGCTTTAACGCTTCTTCTCTTTTCATTGACGCCATGAGGAGCGCCAGCCAAGCCTCTTGGCAGAGGAATGCGCTGGCCCTTGATTCGCGCGGAGTAATTTCAGTCAGGAGGCGCTTTCTGCTGTGTCTGTATGGCTGCTCTTGGATGGCTGGTGCCGGCGCGATTGGCTGGCGGCGTGCAGAGCTGAGGATATCTTACATGGCCACGATGCTGCATATCTTCATGGTACTAAGCAAGTTAGCACGTTGCGAGTAGCAGGTAAGCAAGCTCTGCCGGCAGATGGCCCTATCGAACGCAGCATCTGACCGTCCTCGTCAGTCGGGCGGTTGACCGAGTTGCCTGGCTAGGTTGTTCTTTTTTGTTACCTGTTATAAAACTCACAACTCCGCAGAGGGTGCTGCAGCTGTGTTATCGACAAGACCGGGGCTCCGCTCATCAAATCCCATCCCGACAACGGCTGTACTTCTCATCAGCGCCCGTTAACCAGTTTCCTGCTTTTTTTCTCCTCTGATTTGTCATTTTGTTTCATTTTCTCTCATCTTTCACTATAATCCAGCTTTTTTCTTCCCCTTTCTCCTTCCGTGATTGGTGCTGTTGTTGTATCAGCGACATCGCATCGTGAGCACAGCAGGCGGCCATAGCGGTGACACCACCAACCAAACTGCTGCCTGCACGCATCGATCTCATCTCAGAGACATTCCGCAGTAAGACGGCAGTCAAGTCGTAGCAGCATTGCCAGATTCATATCGGCCACATCTCCTTCTGCTTCGATCCGACGCTTCTTACACCGCCATTGCACTGCCTTGATCCATACCGGCTCCCCGGAAGCACAACCGGCGGCTGTTCGCTTTTTGCGCCTGAGTTTTGTGCCTGATCCGCCTCTAGCTCTGACTCTTGTGTGTGCCTCTCTCTGCCTATCTGCCCCCCAAGGTTCACTGCAAACAAACACTCCAAAGCCCTCTCAAGTCCCCAGTGATCAAGTGCCAAGCCAGTCGAGGTTCAAGCATCTCCAAATCACCAACCCACAGTGGAGCAAAAGGCAGCAAAGCGGAGGCTAGGAACCAGCCCTTGCTCTTGATCAGTGCGGCTCCCAGACCCTCGGTTCTGAGCCGCCAACTCAATATTCTGGCGGCGCCATCACGAGCCTCGCGCTCCTTTTTCTTATCGACAAATCACCGACGGACGGCACAGGTTACCAATAATCACCATATTCCTGCATCATCACTGGCAGCTCAGCTCGGCCGCCAGCGAATCGACTGGACCTGTGGCCCCTCGTGGCTTCACACAGATCTTCCATCCCGGCTGCGGGGTGTTTTTTTCTCAGAGCCAACGTGTGATTTTTACAAGGACCGAGTGAGATAGGGGAGACAAGGAAAAAGGGAACAAGGAGAAAAGACAAGACAAGAAAAAAGCACACCACCCTAGCCCTAAACAGGGCCAGACGCAGGATCCCGACCAAAAATTAGAGGCGCTGCTTGTTTTTATGCTTGTCTGCTGCGCACGTCGACGATCCGTGCATTTTGGGCCTGTGGAGTCAGAGTTGAGGAGAAGAATCCAGGTAGCGAGTACGGCCGTCAAGAGGTGATCTGACACTGCGAGTCGTGCCTGTTTGCGTGTCTACTTTGGTACCCAGGCACCTGTTCTCTTCTTACTTCGCCTTGTCTTTTTTTCATCTCTCCTCATCACTTCGCTTTCAACTTTTTGCTCTCTTTTTTCTTTGGGCATTTCTCGAAGGTTATCGAGAAAAAAGACTTTTGTTGTCATTTGTTTATTCTATTACGGCATCTCAACTCTTTTTCCGGCAGCTTCTCTCTTCTCCGGCCAACAGAAACCCCCGACTTGTCTCGCAACTGCATCCTCCCTCTCTCTCTCTTTCTTCCACCCATTCCATCTCGCCCTCCCGCATTTCCGCCTCTTGCAATTTCCCTTTCTTCTTCTCCATTTGGGAAACCTTCATCTGCGTCTTTTTTTCCATCCTCTTGCACTCTTTGTGCCTCGGAAGCCCGGAACTTGCCTGCACCTTCCCGAAAGGCCCGTCTGCCGTGTTGCGCCAGCTCGGCATCTTGGTGCCGGGCCGTGGATCGTGTGTCTTGGACTTGTTTTCTCAACCTCACCAGCAAAAATACGATATCCATAAAGACGCAGCATTTTTCCTCGGGCTGTATTCTTTTCTCCCTCTTTTTCCGTTATTCATCTTCAATCTCGTTCTTTTATTATTGAGCCATCTTGAGGTGGGGATTCTCCTTTAGTCGAGCGCGACCAGATACACCTCGATCACAGTTTTGTCTTTTTTGCCTGGTTCTGATCGACTTCCTCGGCTCCATAACCCGTTTACCAACACCTCTGGATTCATAACCCGGGTCAACTCTCACCAGGTTCACTCATTACCAACGTCAGAAGCGAGTGAGCAGACCAAGCTTTACCAACTCGTGCAGGACAAGTACCTAACAAACAGACAGCACTACTGGAAATCATTCACCATGCAGTCGCTAAAGACACCCCAAGCTTCGGACTCGGACGTTTCTCCATCGTCAATGGCACCGCCAAAGGAGTCTCAAGAAGAGTACTTTCCTCCATCTGACGCTAGTGGCAGCCAGAACTCGGTACCTCTGGCCTCAAGTGCTAGCGACACTTCTTCGCGTCGGCACTCGAGCATCAGCTTTGCTACAGAGCTGGCAAAGCCCAGCGGAGCGCCGTTGAGTAAGACTATATCAGCCTCGTCTATAGGCAAGCGGAAGGCTCTTGGTACCCAGAAACGGCCTTCGGACGGGGCCAAGGGACGAGCTCCATCCCCCCCTCACAACAGGTAAGGGCCTTGTTTCCTTTTCCTTCTTTTTTTTCTCTTCTCTCTCTGTCCATCCCCTCCTCTCTTGTCGATCAATCCCGGATACATCCCTTCCGGTTCTGTGTATATCTCCTGTGTTCCCATTCTCGATGCTGCGTGTCCCAAAACGGCAATGCGGCAAATGTCAAGTGGTGTACTGGCGGACTCAAGGGCGCTCCAAGACATTGTGCTCGGCGGGATTTCTGCGTTCAATTCACAAGAGACACTCTCGTGCTTCTCCAGGCCTTCCTGACGCGTGCTCTCGGCACAAATTTGCCGACCAGGGATGGACAATGCATTTCTCTCGAGTTTGCCTCTGTTGCTGTTCCACCACACATGATTCTCTCTTGAGAGCGCATGTCGTCGGGTAGAGCGGTAGAGTTGCGATAGTGTCAAGTCCATGTGGGCCGAGGAGCCTTCGATCCTCACGCTAGCGGCACTCCTTATTTGCACCCTGGGGATCCAAATCCCATTCTGTCGTGTCTCTGAGGGGCTTCGAGTGCAGCATCTCAAGCGAACAGCACAAGCCCGCTGGGCGAGGTTGGCAGCACAGAGAATCTGCGGGTGCCCGGTTTCGATACCCTGTTGCTTGGTGATTGGATGCCTCTTCTCCAACTCTCTCCTCCATCCAATTCTCCAACAAGATCCAGCCGAAGCGACCAAAGTCAGCACCTCATTGGCCCCACCGCTCCGGGAGCTTCTCGTTATGGCTATTTTCTTTCTTACCCCGCCAGTAACGAGATGGAATAGCTCGCACCTTTTTCTGTGGTGGAACTCGACGGACCTGGTCCAACTTGCCGCAGTCGCAAATCTCCGGCATCTTCCTCTCACATGCCTCACCCTTGGCATTTGCATATTTCCCTCACCATCTCCTCTTGGGCTCTATTATTATGTCTCATGCACTCTTGATCAACTAGATGCTTTTCTTTATATCTCACCCATTTTCTCCGTCTTCTTACCACCCGTCTTCTATCCCTTTCCACCCAAAACCCCTGTTTCATTTGCGACGGGAATGGCGACACTAACCTCACAACCGCACGACAGATTTCAGCGCCATGTCGGCTTTGACAATGTCCCCAGCGGTGAGACGTCCAAGAAGGCTACCTCGTCCCTCGTACTCAACGTCAGACACGATGGGTATCAGCCACGCCGGAGATCGCGCACCTTCATGGTCGGCATTGACGAGCACTCGTACTCAGATTATGCCATTCAGTGGCTTCTAGACGAGCTTGTCGACGACGGCGATGAAATTATCTGCGTTCGTGTTATTGAAAAGGACGTACGACCTAGCGAGAAGTCATACCATAGCGATGCGCAACAGGTGTTAGATGGCGTCATGGCGAAGAATAAGAGAGGCAGTGCTGTTGCCTTCGTCCTCGAGTACGTAGTTGGCAAGCTACATGCTACCTTTCAGTCCCTGGTAAGTGGCCGTAATTTCACCCTCTTGGCGGGACTTGACCTAACTATCCTCTCCCAATACCAGATTCAACTGTACCAACCAGCCATGCTCATCGTGGGCACACGAGGACGGTCCCTTGGCGGAATTCAAGGCCTCGTCAACAATCGCAATTCGTTTTCAAAGTACTGCCTACAATATTCTCCCATACCCGTCGTCGTCGTGAGACCTACCGAGAAACGGAATAAGAAAAAAGCTAAGCGCACAAACGACAACTCGCGGCAAACATATGTCAGCATGCTGGCTGCAACCCATGGCAAACATGAGGCCGATAGCGAAGCCAGCAGCAGCTACGAACTAGAGGTTCAAATCCCGCGCGAAGAGGAGGCGCATCAGGTGGCAAAGGTGCTGGGTCTGCCCGCCAAGTTCGACCCAACCATCAAACCCATCCACGAGACGGTCTTGATGAGGTCAAAATCTCCCGACCTCGTGGCCGGCCCCCGGACAAGTGCTGCGCGCCGCGTTTCCACTGATCCGTCACCGCCCAGCGCTCCCAATAGCGCTCCCAATAGCGCTCCCAACAGCGATGACGAGGAAGATGACGAGGAAGGAGAGTTTGAGGTCATGACGGGAGTGGAGGCTCTCAACCAACAGCAGAAACTGGACCAGCTTCACAAAATGGAAGTCAGCGAGGCAGCCGCGCTCAGGCAGGGCATTAATGAGGAAGAGGATGAGGAAGAGGATGAGGCCCAGGGGCAGAACTCTGGGAGTGCATCGTAGAAGATGCGTGGCGGCCCAGGGCGTGCCCCCAAGTGCCAGAATGTAGAAGGCTCCAAGGATACGCTGGTAGTGGCTCCTAAGGCTGATGGCGGTGACGCAGGCGAGGCAGACCCCGAGGTTACGATGAGGGGAGGCGGAGACAATAGCACTCCTCGTAGCCGCTATCTCCACAAGAGGATTGCAGACCAGCGGGCGCAGTCTTCAGAATCTACGGCGCCTTCTTCAGGATCAACGACTCTGGAAACACCAAGACCAGCGGCATCGAATTCTGAGCCATCGGCATCAAATCAGTCACAAGGTCAAGGAGCGCCAACCTCGCAGCAGCCGAGCTCAAAGCCGCATGGCTAGAGAGCATCGGTCTTGACGAACAGCCCATCAGCAGCCGGCCCTGCTCCAAGAACTTCTCCCATGTCTATTCCTAGCGAAGCCGGCCCTTCGACCGCCGGTCCTTCGACAGGAGGCCCTTCGACAGGAGGCCCTTCGACAGGAGGCCCTTCGACAGCAGGTTCTTCAACAGCAGGTCCTTCAACAGCAGGTCCTTCGACATCCGGTTATTACAGTACGAGCCCTTATGGGGCCGATCCTTCTATGCCTGGTCCATCAAGGAGGAAATCACGGAAAAGACGATCTGTACATGACCTGCCAACTTCATTGTCTCCAATTGCTGAACCTTCCGACTTCCCCGCGGATGTACCTCCTTCCGCTAGAGAAGTAGCTCCACGTGCCAGAAGAGAGAGACAACCCGGCCTTGTCCAATTTGCCAAAAATGCCCCAAAGGAGTCAGAGTCTGCCTCAAGAGATGTCAGTCGCTTTAGCCGATAGGGTCACGCTCCAAGGGGCTCAAGTTCCAGGTCCAGAATTATACACGATCGACCCTCGCCTTCGGATTCAAAGATCTGGAGCTTGGCGATTGGGGCAAAAAATGCGATTGAAGCACCCTCAACTATGTTCAGAAAAAAGAAGGATCCTCGGGTGACTGCTTTGCTTGAGTCTTCGGATGAAACGTTATTAGATGGCGACGACGAGGCCAGACAGGAGGTGAGAAGAGAGATTCAAAGGTTGAATGATCTGTCAGGGGAGCATTCAAGAGCATCTGACGCTGCGAGTATATCTTCGCGTACGGGGAAATCGAAGCAAGTCGCCCTTAGACCAAAGGATTCGGACACGCTAAATTTGGCTCACAAGATTGACGACCTCGTGGAGCAAAGCAAGCCGAAGCAACGAGAGCAATCGAATTCGACGCGTCCAGCCCCTTCTTCGCGCAATTCTCCCAGGGCATCAGCGCAATACTCTCCTCAGGGACAGCCCGCTCAACCGGTATCAGCACAACGTTCTCCTCAGGGACAGCCCGCTCAACCGGCATCAGCACAACGTTCCCCTCAGGGACGACCTGCACAGCCGACATCAACACAAAACTCTCCTCAGGGACGGCCTGCACAGCCAATATCAGCACAAAACTCTCCTCAGGGACGGCCCGTTCAACCAGCATCGGCACAAAACTCTCCTCAGGGGCGGCCTGCACAGCCGATATCAGCACAAAACTCTCCTCAGGGACGGTCCGTTCAACCAGCATCGGCACAACGGTCCCCACAGCGGGTGTCAGTGCCGCGATCTCCTCAGGGACAGTCCGTTCGGCCAGTCTCAGGGGGGATACCCCTTGATTGGTCTCCCGAACAGAATGTACCTAGGTCGCAATATTACGCCCCGACGAACCATCCGCTGCGGCTAACGTCGTCGCCACAGCGGCAGCAGCAGCGGCAGGAGGGTGAAGAGGAGAGCGAGGAAGAGGAGGGCGAGCCGATGAACGCTCATCAGCAAGAGCACCTCAAACGGATGCTACAAGAAGCTGGCTTGTGGCCGCCCGCCCGCCTTGAAGAAGCCCTTGCTTCACAGACGTCGGCATTCGTACCAGAGACCAGCTCAGGGAACAGCATTTCAACTTTTAACCAGGTTCAAAACCAGGGCGATGTTGTGGAATCAGCAAAAGACAACCTTGATGCGGATGCAGAGGCAGCTGGCGATACCGAAAACGCAGCTACAAAGAGATCACCTCTTGCAACGATGAAGAAATGGTTTCAGAATGCCGCTCAGAATAAGAGAAAACAAGAATGATGGGAGATTTCCTCGCAGCTATTTGGCAAGGGGATTCGGAATTGCATAGTGAGCACAGGTTCATTCACGGGACAGCAAGCTCAGCAGACACAGGCAGGTTAGCGATTGGTTGATTTGATTGGTTGATTGGTTGATGGAGGTGGATTGGAATAATAATAGAGCGGTGGATTATGTTCATGTAGGTTTAGGGGAAAGATTAGCGCATGGCAATATGGCATCTAGATTTTGCGCCGAGACAGCCAGATGAAGAAAGCGATTAAGCATGACGACTTTTGAGCGTGCCGTGAATTACGTGAAGATGCCGATGACGGGAGATGAATAATCCATGTTTGTCGGGGGGTTACGCGGCTCAAGAAGAGGGGAAGCATGTTGAAGCCAGTCATTGCTAAGTAAAGAAGATGTAGGCATTCTGATACGATACGAAACACGGGACAGCTTGGCGGTTAAAGAGCTGCATGGCCTTGTGAAGGATCAGCGCGGGCGAAGCACACAAAGTGGAATGATTTTGGCAGATACGGCTGGGCAGTGTAAAGTAAAACAAACAAGAAACCTTACAAGAATTAGATGACTAAGGCGGCATGGCATCTTGCTGCAGATTCGTGTAGAGTTCGGATGTTGCTGAAAATAGATGGTGGGCTTTTTAGCATTGGGAACAGTGGGGAGACGAGACTTTGAAGGAAGTTGGTGCGGGTACCGAGTACGAGACCACCATGATGTTATGGATGCCAATTGGTTAGAATTGGCGGCCACATGCAGCTTTATCCGTCTATTGCGTCGCTGAAGGTCTAAAGTACAGAGTACGGGTACACGCTTTGGGTGGGACTGGCCCCAGATTGCAGCGACGGGATCGTCGTCATTCTTTTTCTTCTCTCGTCTTCCCTCCATGCTTTTTTCCCTCTCGCTCGCTATTCTTTTTTCTTCCTGGGGTTACATTTGATTGTATGGAGTAATTGCAAGGGGGTACGACAGCAACGACCTAGGCACTATATTTGTCTGCTTCCGCCTAAGTATTTCTCGACCCAGCTTTCCATTGAGCCGGCGCTTTTACCACTTATTAAAGTCGACGTGGGGTGTTTTTATTGCCTGCGATAAATACCTACTACACTTACCTCTTCTATCTGCTTACTAGACATTCGCTTGGCTTCGTTGATTGACTTTGCATTGATTGAAACCCACTGCTCTACTACTACAATCCTACCTCTAGTGGTACCTGAGAAGAAGGAAGAGGTAGCTCTCGAGTAACTTATGCTGGCGTCTTTGACGGGGGGTTGGATTTGGACAACACAAGTGCGACGACAGCTTGCGATAAGGAGACTGACGGGATTGGATTGGAGAGGGGAGGGATATTCTCGACACGAGCTACGAAAGGGTGATTGAGGCTGATTTGATTTGATTTGATCTCATCGACACAAGCAAGAGAGAGAGAGAACGCGGAGGGGGGATAAGGAAACCCCAACGAAAAGCCAAGATTAATTAACGACACCTACCTCATACGACAACAACCACCCAAAAGACAACGACGCAAATGTGGCCCTTTTCGTCTTCGTCCTGCGACCAAGATGCCTGCGTCCCTCCAAGCCCGCACGCCGTGACAGCCGCCGCTCTGCTGTCGGCGCTGCCCTTTGCCGCCGTCTTCATCGCCGCCAACGCCGTCGCCGTGCGCCTCATCTTCCCCAAGCTGAGCCGCGCCGCGCAAGACGATGCTCGCGACGGCGACGACCACGTCCTGCCTGCTCACGCCCCAGCGGCGCTGCGGCAGGTGCACGCCGAGCACGGCACCAAGAGCTGGAGAAGGCGAGGCGCGGCGTGGGCTTTTGGAACGACGGTCGGGCTGGCGGCGACGCTGGGCGCGCTCATCATGGCGGAGATTGTTGAGGCGGTTGACCCGGCGGCGCGGAACTTGGCGCTGAGGGTTACGGTGCCGGCGCTGTTGTTTATGTTGGTGGTGTTGATTCCGTGGCTTGAGTGTCGTAGCCTCGTGTCCAGCGCGGGATGGAGCTTTCAGAGGACGGCCAAGGGAAAGCTTCCGCGCGTGGCATTGGGATTGCAGGCTGTGCTGTTTGGCGGCTGGCTGTTCATCTTTTGGTCCATGGGCAGCGTCGTGCCGCGGGCTGAGATATTGCTGCGGTCAGCGCCGCCGGCGGATCACGATGGGAGGACGAGCCCAAGCTGGAATTCGAGGGGCATCATGGGCGAGGATCTGACTAGAGCATGTTTGGAGCGTATTGGTGTCGTGGGTATCTCGCTCATGGCGCTGCTGTCGGGTTTTGCGTCCGTGTCGGCGCCGTGGCACACTTTTGGTCGCAGCGATGTTAGGCGGAGGCCGTTGACTGAGGCGGATGTCAATCGCAAGCAGACGGGGCTAGACGCAACGAGCGAGATGTTGGCGACGAAACGACATCGTCTGCAGTATCTGGAACGCAAGATTAGCCAGGAAGCGAGCAAAAGGGGAAAGACTGGACTGGTCGGGATGGTCATGGGCTCGATACGAGGGGCAACAGGCGAGGAAGCCGAGATACAGACGCTCAAGATGGAGATTGTCGGGCTCGAGGCCATGGAGGCCAACTTATCTTCCAACTTGGTATTGATGAAGAACCAACGCGCCGCTTCGGCCCGTGCTTCGACGACTATGGGCCGCATCTTGCTCGTCCCGTCATACATCTTCAGCGCCTACTGCGTGTACCGAATCTTGGCGACGTCATTGACGACTCTCCGGAGAGCATCTTCGCCGTCGGCCAGTTTCGCCAGCAGCGATCCCATCAACCGCTTCTTGGGGCTGCTAGCCAGGCACTGGGACCCGAAGCTCGACCAGATGGCGTGGGCGCGCATCATCAGCTTCGCCCTCAGCGGCGTCATCCTCGTGGCCAGCGCAAACAGCGCCATCCAGACGTTCCACCTCTTCGCCAAGTGGACTCCCGGACTGCTACGGCACGCCCAGGCGAACCTCGCCCTAGCGGTCGGACAAGTAGCGGCGACGTATGTCATCTCGGCGAGCCTGCTTCTACGCAGCCAGCTCCCCAGCGAGGCGAGATCTGCTGTAGGAGGGGTCCTGAGGGGCGCGCTGACGCCGGCGTTTGTGGACGGCTGGTTCGAGGGCTGGTTCCTCTTGGGCAGCGTGGTGACGGGCGTGGGGATCTTTGTTGGCGGGAAGATTAGTGCGATTGGGGAGGCTGATTGGGATGATTATGGGATGGAGGAGATGGGGGCTAAGAGGTCGTGATTTTTTATGAGCTTTTTGATTGTTGATGTTTTTTATTTGTTGTCATGTTGGCCTGGCGTTGAGAATGTTTTTTTCACAAGGATACTACTTGATGTTTTTCTATTTCTTTCTTTCTCTCTCTTGGGAGGATTTTATATTGTTTTGATGGGTTTAAGCACCAGCACTTGCGACGGGACGCATTGTTTGCAGTAAAGCATCATGTCATGCTTCGTCTATTCTTCTTTGTCTATCCTTCTATCAACCTAGGTCTCTTTTTCGAAGAAAGCAAAACAAACTTCATGATCCATCTCGAAGTCATAAACACATCCTTTCGCTCACACAATCACGCCCAACTCCCTACCAACCCTAAACGCCTCCAAACAAGATCCCCAAACAGCCCGACTCGTAAACTCCAGCACTCTCTCCCCCTTCCCAACTCCATTCCCATTCTCACAAGGCAAAACAGCAGCTCGTCCCCTCCTCACCTCCTCCTCCGTAAACCACCCCCACTCAACATGTTCCTCAGGATCAATCTCCACCCTCGCACCCTCATCCACCGTAGCAACGAAATTCATCTTCCCCCAAACATCCTTCGTCTCCCAAAAAGTCGTCACCCTAACTACATTCCCCCCCTCATCAATCTTCACTTCCACATCCCTCGCGAGTTCCTCCTCCGGCAAAACACCCCAATTCTTCATCTTTGCAGCGTCTTCAGTGTTTACTTCCCTCGCCATGGCGACCCAGGTATGGAAATGAGGGTTTGAGAGATTAGTTTCTTCGTGGAGTTCGCGGGCTGCGGCGGAGAGAACCGTTGTGTCGGAAGGGTCGATGGAGCCGCCGGGGGGTTCCCATTTGAGGGGGTAGGAATCTTGTGGGTGGCGACGGAGGAGGAGGATTTGCGGCTTCTGGGGTTTGTTTTGGGAGTGAGAGTGAGGTTGGCGGAGGACCATGACGCTGGTCATGAGGTAGTCGATGGGGGGGTTGCTGGTTGCTGAGAGGGTTTGGGGGGATTGAATTGTTAGGGGGGCGAGGGAGGGTGAGTGGGTGTAAGTGAAGGCCGTCATTGTGAATGATGTTGCTTAATTGAAGTTGTTGTTGTAAACGTTTGAAACAATAAATAATATTCAAATTGAGGTGTGGTTTGCAGGGTATCAGATCAAAGTCAAGATAGGATGAAAAATGAAAAAAAAAAAAAAAACAAGACTCACAACTCAGCGGACAGGGTGCGCGATATAATATATCCGGCCTGGGCACGGCAGGCAGCACTCATGCATCTCAAAGGGCGCCTTCCAGGCACAAACATTTCCAAATCCCGCTGCCTTGTCACAGTCACAGTCACAGGCAACACAATTTCACACAAACAGTCACATCATCGTCATCGTCAAAATAAATAGAAACCCTTTTTTATTTTGCCTCGCCCTCTATCAAATAGACTCGCTTCAAAGCGGCTACATTCCGCCCCATGCCAATCATTGTCTGATCTTTTGCTTTTCCTCTGCTCTGCGTTGTTCCCCCCGTGCCTGGGCTTCCAGCCAAGGCACATCGCATCCATGCCCGCCAATCCTCTCGACATCCGGGTATGAACGAACATGTCCAGTTCAAGCTTTTGTTTTCTTGTTCTCGCTCTCGCTGTTCCAGTCCGAGCAACATCTTCAAAGTAACAAGAGGAAAAAGTGAAGAAGAAGAAAAGCAAAGGCGGGAAAAGCAAGCAACAAAAAGAACAAAATTGCGCAGATCGATTCCCCGTTTTTATGTTCCCCAAAGAGTCCGCAGATGAATAGATAGAACCCGCCCTCCTCATCGACACTGCATAAAGCGTGAGCTGGTCATCATCATCGTCATTGAAAGCTGATCGTTCAAATCATCTCTCCCTCCTTTTCAATCTGTTCTGTCCCGCATAAATGCATGTCATGAGATGGAAAAAACAAAATTGCATCATTTTGACCGTTTCCTAGCCCTCCTGCCCCAATTTGTTGAAGAAAAAAAAATGAAGAATAAAAAAGAAAAACGTTATTACGGCCCCATATGCCGAGCAACTGTCGACCAACTTATACTATATCCCGTCCAACCAAGCAGCAAGCAAACAAGCTTCATTCGAAGCCCGGCCAGCAGAGCACGGTAGGACAAAGTAGCGTTGTAACGGCCAACGCCATCAGATGCTCGAGTGAACAAAGATGCAAAAAAGAGAGAAGAAATTGAGAAAACATCTTGTAGCGTCGACACGGCATCATTTGGCTTGCCGAAAAAGTCATGAGCCATATCCAAGCGGTCTGCGGCTGGAGATGGACGAGATTGGAGACTGCAGAAACGCCTTGCCCGGAAATCGGTAACGTATTTAGAAATCGGAACAGTGCACACGATGTCAGGACCGGGATCCGCTGGCAGAAAATCTTGCGACGGCATCTCTAGTCATGAAAACCGAAAGGAAATGGACATCAATTTTTTACAATCGCTCTTTTTTGGTTTCTTGCTTTGCTTTTGGTCTTTTTACGCCCGTCCAGTTCGTCCCTTCTTACCGACGGAGACGGTAGTCCAGCCGTCCTCATCGGCAGCCGGAGCCGGAGCGTCGCCCTCGGCCGCGGGAGCAGCAGCCTGCTGGCCATTGGAACGAGGTGCCCGGTTTTCGTTGCGAGGTCCTCGGGGCGCGCCATCGTCACGGCCGCCACGGCCGCCACCACGGCCACCACGGAAGTTTCCACGGGAGAGTCGCTGTTCGTTGGTGGCTGATCTCCAGTTACCAGACTCGGTAGCTCTTGATTTCTGTCCCTGGCTGAAATCCTTGGGCTGGTCTCGAGTTCGGATAGGAACCTTTTGCTCCGACGCACCATTTTCCTTTGCCTGCTCAGTCTTGGGCTCTTCCTCGGCCTTGGTTTCTGTCTCGATGGCATCTGTCTTCGCCTCAACGTTGGCCTCGGCGGCCTCAGTAGCCTGCTTGGCTTCAGCCTCGGCTTCGGCTTCGGCGTCGGCCGCAGCCTTGGCAGCGGCGGCTTCCTTGGCTAGGCGTCGCTCTTCCTTGGCCTTCTCGTCCGCTTCTTTCTTCTCCTGGATGGCCTGAAGTCTCTTCTCTTCAATCTCCTTCTCCCTTGCTGCGGTATCGATGGGACGAGCAGCTCCAAAGGGGCTGGCCTTGGCGTCTCCAGCGGCAGAAGAGGAGCTATCAGCAACCTCCGAAACGGTTCGCTTCTGAAGGTTCAAACGGGGGCGACCACCGGGGGCTTGGGCCGGGGGCGCGGCTCCAGGAGAGGCCGGAGTCTCAGCGGGGGGTGCGTTGGCAGCATCCGGACGCATGCGATCGCGCCATTGGAAATCCTTCTCAGCGGCGGTGGGAGTGCGCTCCGGGCGTTCAGGGCGCTCGGGTCGTTCGTTGTATTGCCGAGGAGGACGGGCACCCTCTTGTCTGCCCTCTCCCCAAGCTGCGGGGCCCCGACGGTCTCCGCGGTACGACTCGCTGCGCTCTCCCATACCCTCTTGAGGTCCGCGCGCACGGCTGCTTTCACGGGATCCGGGTTCCTGGGGGGACAGGGGAGACAGAGGTCCGCGTCGCTCCCACGTCCCAGTAGAACGGCCCTCAGAGGCGGGATCGCGAGGGGGGCGGCGTTCACCAAAGTCGGACCGGGGACCCCTCGCTCCAGGAAGATCGGGAAGAGGGCCCTTGCGGGTCCACTCGCTCAGGTCTCGGGCAGATTCACCACGGCCCTCTCGGCCGTCGCCACCACGAGCTACATCATCAATTAGCATACGGAGTTTACTCGTCATATAATACCATGATGGGAAGAACACATACGAGGATCGGCAATCTTAATTTTGATCATGCGGCCCTCAAAGGACTGCCCATCAAGGGTCAGGGCCTTTTTCAGGCCGTCAAGGTTGCCGAACTCGACATAGCCAAAGCCCTTGGGGCGTTGCAGTTCGCGATCCTCGATAATTCGGACGCTGACAACGTCGCAGCCGTCAAAGAAGTCGGTCACAGATTCGTTGGTGGCATCATATGACAGGTTGCCCAGGTGGGCGGTAAACGGAGGCTTCTCGGGAAGCTTGGCGGGGACGGACTCGCGGACAGAGTAGCCTGGCAGGAGTTAATGATGAGTGATGAGCAGCCACTGGCTACGGCGTGAAGGATTCATACCTCGGTCCTGCCACGAAGAGGTGGTCATGGAACGGCCAGCGGGAGGGAGAGCCTGAGTACCTGTATCATCAGGTCAATATCATGCTGTCATGTGCATATATAGCCGAGCGTATGCCAATGTTTTCTTCTTTCATTCTTTCTTTTGTTTTCCTCCTCTTGTCTTTTTTCTTATTCTTCTTCTTTTTTTTCTTCTCAGGCAGATCGCTATTAGATATTATATGGACTTACCAGAAACTGTAGACAAATTAGCAGGGGTCCAAGCGACAAGAATTCGGCAAGCAGGAGCAACATACCATAGGTTTCCTCAACCTCATCAGCCCAGGAGCCTCCACCAAAACCTGCGCCAAGAGTCAGCATGTTGTCGGTCCGGAATTTTTATTCTAGTGCCGGCGCGGGGTGTCGATGCGACCCCCCCAAAATCGATAGCGGTCGACGAGGGCATCAAGGGAGGGGTGACGGAAGCACCAACCTGAATCAGCCAGGAAGTCCCCAAGGGACATCTTCTGCTGTTCCTTCTTCTTAGGAGCTATTGAGCAGCGTCAGCAGGATGTTCTGATATTCTCGACAGTACCGCAGAGCCATATTCGGTGACATACCCATGATTGCGGTTGAGAAGGGCGAGCTCGCGCAAGGATATCACAGTATCAGCAGCCGATGCGCAAAAGGGCAGACCGTTTGCTAGGCTGCGGCGAGAGAGAAATAGGCGGTGGCCGAAGAGAATCGACAGCAGGAGGAGGAGCCAATGAAGGGACCAGATTGGCTTCGGATGCGCGAGTACGAGTCCCAGATGCCGGGTCTGGGGTTGGCGAGGTGAAATTTGCTCGTCAAGGAAAAAAAAAGATGCGGCGTCGTGAGAGGGCTGGCTGCCTTTTCCATTTCCAATTTTCGCCCGCCCAAGAGTGGGAGACGCTAGGCCGCGTCGGGCTAGGCGCTGCGACATTGCCGATACCTGCTGTGCCTAGCCAGCCAAGCGTCTGCAGTGGCCGCCTGGCTGCGGTGCCTGCGCATCGCTGGTATCTCCAAGTCACTGCCCGTAGCCGCCGACCCGTTTTGTGCATATCATCTCCACCGCCCAGCAAGAGCCCCACCATGCCAGGCGAGGAATTAAATGTTCACAGGTACCTCCAATCCATTTTCCCAAGGCTGACCTGCTAATGATATCCATCTCCATCAACACCAGCCAGTCTACTACTACTTTGTATTAATATTATATATTCTTTATATATTCATCTTCTTTTAATTATTTGTTAAAGATTACTACCATCTATCTCCCTCGACTTAATCATCCACTCCCTTACTATTGTTTCTCTCAGACACATACATTCACCACTCAGAAAGAGGAACGTGGGGTGAAAAATCTCAAGACCACCATGAGCGACAAGCCGGAACCTTCGTCCGTCCCCCTGCAGCCGCAACAGCAGAAGAGGCGAGGTATCTTGCCGCCAGAGATTATAGAACTCATTGTGGCTCCCGTCAAAGTTGGCTCATTTACTGGTAAGTTTCTCATCCTTCACTCATGGCAAACAATACCCTTTGGCTCTAACATGTACAAACAAGGCGCGGCTGGAGTGTTAGCTGGTGTTGCTGGTGCCATTGCACGGGACACCAGCCCTGTAGCCAGTGGTGCTGTAACCGGATTCCAATGGTTTGCCTTGGGAGGGAGCTTCTGGTGTAAGTTTAACCTGCCTCTAACCCGCCTCTTACCAATGCGAATCATTATTCACCCCATCAAGTTACTAGGTCTATGACCGTCAGGGCAATGGGAGGCGACCAACAGTTGAGGCCAGTCGACAAAACCATAGCGAGCACCATAGGCGGATCAGCAGCCGGCGCAGTAGCTGGCTTGATACGTGAGTAACAAGCTTCTACTAATATCAGCGCTTGTCAACTAACTTTTGAGCTTGGAAGGGGGGCCAGGGAAGATTCTACCTGCCATGGCCATGTGGGGAGTGCTGGGAGCAGGCGGACAGATAATTGCCAATGGCATGAGCAACAGGAAGCCAAAAGTCAAGGACGAGAATGATAGCTGGCTTCGGTCGAACTGGAGCCCGCTGAGAAAACTCACAGACCAGGAGTACATCGACATGATGGAAGAGAAAATTCTCAGAGTCGATGCAGACATTGCCCTCATTGACGACCGGATCGCCGAGCTAAAGTCTATTGATCAAGCTAAAAACGAAACTAGGAGGTGAAACTCGGCGTCCACGGAGTACGCCTACTTTTAATCGAAGCATGCAATTTTTTTTTTTTTTTTTTTTTTACGAAATAGCTATTACGCTGCAATAAAAAAAGCATGATTCTCGTATTACAAGACTGCGCTCAACAATTGCAGCATGTGATGGCCAATAATAGAAGCACAATTAGAGTTGTAGGTTAACAGGGGAGTTGATCGTGTTCCTGTGCTTATGTCACCAAGGAGCTGCCATTGTCCAATCAACGGCTACTATCCGCGTCCGATATGCCGTCCGTGCAGAATGTCTCACCCGATCTAGCCCTAAGCAAGATAGATGAAGAAAGCAAGAAAATACAATTCGTCATCAAGGCATTGGACTTGATTGATACTGAGTGGCTATATTCTGCTTTGGATTCTTTACAGAGATTATCTTCAACTTGGTGGACGCAGCCAAAAAGCATCTGGGGGATTCCCTGTAAATCCTGGCAGAGGTGGTCCGTGATGCCGTTAGCACCGCTAGCACCGTCTGCAATCTCGTAGCATTTGCAGCTGCGACTCTCCGAATCTTGATTAGTCCAGAAGGGGAGCAGCTGGAATATTCCAAGAGAGATTGACAGGTCGAGGCGAGAAGAGGCGAGGAAGGCGGGAATTATAGTAAGTTTCCGAGGGAGTGGATTTAATTGCTAATGTTACCATCGGTTGATTTGACGCGTCTTTCTTTTAGTAATGTACCTACTCCGTATTGTGGTCTCCTTTTAAGAACATTAATAAGAGCGATGGCTCGTGTGTACATGGGCATATCGCGTGCGTATGATGCACTCAAATGTAGGTCTAAACGGGGCTGCTCCTTATTGCTAACTCCGCTGCTGCTCCGGACCTAGGGATAACTTCAATATCGTGACTTACGACGACCTGGTTACTGTCTTTTATCTCTCTGCTGCCAAGAGAAATGCCTCTCCTTGTTCAATATAGAGCACATCTATCTGTCCTGCTGGATGTTGATACTGCATAGCTACCTCCTTCTATTAATAATACTTACCTGATATGTATTCCTCGAATACCTCGTAACCACTCCTTTATATTTAGGCTATTTTTGAAGGGGGAGCTTCGTCGTCTAACATCCGCTTCGTCGGGTGTTCTATACTAGAGCTCCGTTGTTAGCGGCTGTGCTAGGTTTTAGAGGCGTGGCATCGCGATAACAAGGTCACGGCATCCGGGAATGTTCCCAGCTAGCCTGAAAGTATAGATAGGTACAGGGCACATGCGTGAGAGGTACCCAGCACCAATCAATCCCACGCTCGCTTTTTGGCTCCAAGTCTGTGAGTCTGTGTGTATGTGCACGATAGGTACGATAGGGACTGCACTGCATCCAGTAAGTCGGCACACGATTGAACACCTGATGCGCAGCCGTAATCTCGAATACGGGGCCTGCGCAGGGCCTTTTATGGAACACGGTGGCTTCTGGATTCCTGGCCTCGACTCTGCGAGAAATTTTGCAATCCCGACTGTCCCTATTCCCCCCTTTTCCACCATTCCAGCCTGGACCCGGTACCTTGGGAATCCGTGACGCCAGACACGCCAGACTCGGCCGCCAAGTACTCGGTACCTCCATTGCCACCTGCTGGCCCATCTGCCGCATCGGCTCCGCTGCCTCTGGCTTACCTCCATTCACCTTCCACCGTACAGCACCCATACCAGCTCTCTCCAGCCAGCTTACAGCTCCCACGTCTCGCAAACCTCCGTACTTCAACTGTTCGTGCGACACGGGTCACAGGCGTCATCCGGAGTTCTTTGCGGCGCTCTTCGCTCCGATCTTCCTAGCCGGCCCGGGAAGCCCTGCTGCTCGACCCCAGGCGCATCACAGGAGCTGTTCCGGCGTCCCGATAGTCCAGGTCCCCCTACCTGGCCCGGTTCGGGGCCCCTCCCTCGTCGAATCTCCCAACTTCCATTTTCCTTCTTTTTCTTCCCACTGTCATGTCGCGTCTCTCTTCTCTTTGTTCCCACTGATTGCCTGTTTGCTCTGCGAGAGAATGGTCTCTCTGCTACCGGCGTCCTGTAAGTACGCCCCCATTGATTGGAGCTTTGCTTGCCTCGTGGCACACCGTCTAACCTCCCCTTCAGCTAGGTAATTGATTGCGCGCCGCTGCAAACATGGCGCTTCTCAGTCCGACCTTTGCCCTCGGTGTCTTTGTCCTCCTCTATCTCTCCTCCTTCGTCCTCTTCGCCGTTCTTCGAATCGTCACCGGCATATCGATCCAGCGGATAGGCTACTTCTCCCTCCGGCGCCTTGCGTACTCACCCAGAGATGGAATCAGGATCGAGATTCGCGGCCTGGGGCTCAATATTCACCGTCCGACTTTTGCGCAGCCCACATGGCTGAGCATAGTCCTCAGCGACCTGACCGTTACCGCCGATATTAAGAAGCTCGAAGAGCGGAAGCCTGCCACAGACGAGACGCCACAGGGTGTGGATCGAAAGACAGATGATGCAGATTCGGAGGAAATAGATCCGCTACTAGACCTGCCTGCTCCAGATCAAGCCAAAGCTAGATCCGAGACTGAGACGTGGTCGCGCCTCCAAAAGCTCAAAGAGAAAGTGAAAAAGTTACACCACAGCGTGAAATGGCTACGCTTGGTGGACGTCGTCGTGACCAACTCGGTCATCAATGTGGTTGATGTGGGCAGTCTTCAGGTTGGAAGCTTGACGCTTGCTGTGGATACGAGACACAAAATGGCCGATCGAGCTCGATTCTTCTTCCACCGATCCGATTCTTCAAAAGAACACGCCGAGGCCGAATGGATATTGACCGTCCGGAGTGTCTTTTTCGCAGTGGATGGCAAGGAATCTCTCCAGATTCTCGACCATGCATTGCTAAATGTGCACGGATATCTCTATCCGACACAGGAGGGCCTCCGAGATGCGACCGTTGCCTTGAAGCTCGGCAGAGTCCAGATTCCGTACGACGAGTTGCACCACTGTGCAACCAAGTTCAAGCTGTCTCGCAAGAAGCCAAAGGTTGCCAGCTTGGATGACCCCGTCGACATCTTTGTTAGTAAAGTGCAAGATGGAACCGCTAGCAGTGCAAATGAGCACTTGGTGAAAACTGTTTCAGACTCGAAGGAGTTCTTCAGCTCCATCTTGCGAGGCATCAAAGAAATTCAGTTTGCCGTTAGCTTTGTCGGCCTCGTCAAAAAGATTGAGTCTGTCAACCCTTGTGCGAAACCCGTGCACCTCACTGCTTCCATGAAGGAAGTTGGCATCGACCTGCATCGCCTAGATCCAAAGTCACCGGCACATCGTATGTACTTCCCGTCCACAGACATCGCCCACGAAGCGCTGGTGGCTGCCCTCTCCATCTCTGTCGGCATGGACGATGGCCTCGGTAAACCGCAGCGAATTGTGTACATCCCCATGGCTACCACGACGGTCAGAACCACCTTACCTTCCAAGACCATCCAGCTGTCTCAGGTGGATAACTTTGAAGACAAGAATGCGAATATTCTGTTCGCCAACTCTGTGGTCACCTCCCCATCTATCGATCTTGATCCAAGACACCTGCCTCTCTTGATAGCAATGATGCGGTCTAGACCAAAGCCTCCAAAGACGGAACAAAGGCAGCAGCAGAAATATCTCTTTTCTCGACTGCTTCCCAAGGCGAGTATTAAGTTTACTATGCACGAGCCTGTTCTCCGCATCAAGCTCAAGCCTCTCGGCAAGACAGAGGACCCAGATGATTACGGTCTCATCATTTCATCAATCTCATCTGTTGCTCTTGACGCTGAATCATCTCATTCACCGCTTGAAGACTTGCACTATTCTCTGGATGGAGCAATGCGGCTGCAATCCCACCACCTATACTACCAAGCTGTGTCTGGCGAGAGGTTCGACTTGATAACAACTGAGTCTTTCGACCTGAAAGTCCACTTGGCAGCCAATCCCGAAGTTTCTGTCGATGCCACGAGCAACATCCAATCGTTTTCAGTCAGCATGGTGCGGCCGGAAATCACAGATGGCGTTCGTCAGATTGTACGCCAGCTACGCACCGATGTTGAGCCAACAAAGCGAGCCAAGCCCAAGTCAAGAAGGCATCCCAACTTCCTGAGATCGGTCCCCGAATGGCTTTTCCGTTATCAAATCGCGGCGAATGATGTCAACATTGAGATTGCCGGCGTAGATGAACAAATTTCCGATGATAGTAAAGGCATATCGCTGCATCTTGACGGCATGTCGGCAGAGTATCGTGCTCAAAGACTGGACGGCTTACAGAGACGGATGCTCAGGAGACGAACTCACAGCCGATCACTCACTCAGTCAGACTCTGATTTCGCATCTACGAGTCCGACAAGGTCGAGAAAGAAGCCCCAAAATATCGGCGATGGTCGTCGTCTGGTGTTCAATGCCAGAGGTATTGAGGCTCAAATCATCGAAACCGCGGAGCAGCTTGAGCTGGAGCCTTTCATCAACGTGCCTCGCCTTGAATTTTCACTCTCTGCTTCAAGCGATAATCATGGCCCGTTGTTTCACATCCAGTCCTCGATTCGTTCCATCATGGTTCAGTATTCACTCTACCGACACTATGCTGTGGGCGTTGCTATGAAGACTGTCAGACAGGCCTTCATGAGAACCAGTGGCGACGCGCCAAGAGCTTCACAGCAAGGTACACCAAAGTCGGACCTTCTGGTCCCTCCTGGTGCCTCTGGATTTTCTCCCGCAGATTCGGCCTCCACAATCACAGACTCCGTAGTCGTCGACGTGAAAGTCGCTTTGATTCAGGTGAAGGCGGAGATGCCACACGACCCAATGATAATGCTTCACATCTATAGTGTGGATGCTGGACGTCAGAGATGGTCCACGCCGTATTTGTCGTCTAAGCTAATACGCTTGTACGTTGCATCTCCACGTATGCGCAATATATGGTCGCGAATGGTTAGCATAAAAAATGGACGCCTTGACCTGCGAGAGTCCAAGCACAAGTCGAACCAAGGGGACACTAAGGAAGAGAAGCTTATCGACGTATCTACTGAGGCGATCCGGATCGGTATTCCGCACGAGGTCATTGTTCA